GGAAAATTATTTTGGGGACTGCCGAGGCAGAAATGAAAAGCATTATATACATAATATGGTATTTTGTGTATTCATTTTTTAAATCCAGTACCAAAAAAGAGAAAATTCTCTAAAATAACCAGAAACCGAACAGTGAAAAATGCCAGTAAAAGAATACTGAAATTAAATGTAATCAAATACAGCTGAAACTTTTAGAGCAATATGTAACTCAAATAAGGCTACTGCAAAATCTGCTGTTGTTTCTCTTCAAGAATACTTGATCAAGAATTTACAATAGCAAAATACAAAATCAATATAAATGCAATATTATACTTAGAGCAAATACAAATTCAAATACAGTATCAGCAACAGAGCAATACAAAATCAAAGTTACTTAATACAATAATATTCATAATGTTAAACAGTGATATAGAATGACCCCCCTCCCAAATTCCCATACATACCAGCACAGACCAGCTGAGAAAACCCTCTTAGCACAAGCCTGCCTCAGCGTCTCCCTTTCCAGTAGAAAACACAGCAGATAAAGGGAAAGGGGTCCCTGCCCAGAGGGCAGATCCTGGCTCCCACTGAGCTCCCTCCCACACCCCCTCCCCCTCCCCCTCCCCAGAGAGGAATCTGCAGCAATAGCACAGTGAGCCCGAGCTGGTCCGTGGCTCTTTCACGGACCCGGAGAAAATGCCAGCCGAACGGTGGCTGACCCGTCTAAATGAGGTGGGAGTCACAAAAGAGTTTTAAATTTCCTGGCATTTCCCACTTTCACCTCCATGAGAATAGCCCATCCATCTAGCACAACAAGGAGCTAATACACAGTGACTTAGAAGAATTCTCTCTGCAGTTCATCCAGACATTAAGCCTCAGACCTCAATTCTCCCAAGTTCTGTTCAACCTGGAAAGCTAAAGCATAGACATATTTCTGGTTTAATCTGTGCTTCCACGTAACTCCCACACTGGCTACTGCCAGGGGTAAGTTATGGAAGTTGCAGCAAAAGCAACACTATGCCCATGCCCAGCAGCACATGATGTGCCTGGCTCCCCAAAATATCTTGTGAGTCCCCCAGACACCCAAACTAACTTCCACCTCTCTGCAAGGTCCAAAGGGGATGCTCTGAGGGTACAGAAACCGTAGGACCTCGTCAGAGGTACTTCTAAATAAACTTTTAAAAATGTAAGGAGACAAAGGAGTCTCTCTCTCTCTCTGGAAGACAGCGAGGAGAACAGCTGTGTGTGTGTGTGTGCATCTGTGCAAGTGTGTGCATGTGGGAAGGATGAGGGAGTGTGTACATTTCCCTGGATAGGACACCAAATGGAACCCTCGGGGCAAAGAGGTTGTGCACAGCGCGCACACACAGAACACCTTTCCTTGGCTGCTGAGGAACCACAACCTGCCGGATATATTAGATGGGCAAGGCTTTTTGAACACAAGCATGGAAGGAAGGAATGAAGCATTTGGGAAATAAGCATGGACCACATTTTGCTTGCCCGCATTTTCTTAAATAGTGGTCGAGTTCATGAAGGATCTGGGGTCACTGAGAATCTGTGCACAAAGCCACATTCACAACAATCAAGAGCATTAAAAACAAACGAACAAGCAAACAACCAAGCCGGATTATTGCAGCAGGTGAGCTTGGCCGGTACGCTGTTAAGACCACTGCCTCGGGAAAACAAACAGCTAAAGACTCAGGGTAAACCTCCTTCAAGTTCATTACTTCAGGTTCATAAATAGAAATACAACTGAGAGGAAGATCACCGTTTTGTTAAGTTAGCAAACAAGGAGATTTAGAAGCAGTATTTGGGTTAAAACCATTTTCCATACTAACTCCAGCTGTATTTGGGGTTGATGCCTAACTTTTTAAAAGCTGCTACTGCAGCTTTCTCACCTGAAGGAATGTGATGCTACATTTCAGGTGGACGCATGAGAAAGGTAAGAAAGATTGCAACAATTAAATACTTGAGAGCACCACCTGTATAGAGGAATACTTAGAAGGGGCACAAAGAGAGACCTCATTAAGACAAAGTGCAGAGAAGCATACCAAGGTCAGAATTCTGAGACAGGATGGGAGAGTTCCTTAGAACGGTGGACAAAGTCCTTGGCTGTCAGGCAGTCATGAACTAAAGAGAAGAATCAGATGTCAAGAGGAAAACAGAAATGATCAGAAAGGTTGAAAATGGGAAGGGGGGGGAGCAGGTTTTATGCCTTAGCAAGGCACCTATTCCCTATGTATAGATGGAGATATTATGCAGAGAGGGGTCTTTAGCAATTGTCAGGAAGGAACCACTAGGAAATCCTTTTAGTTTGTAAGCAGGATGTAAACGCTAGAAAAGCAGGGAAGTTATTAAAAGGGACAATTACTGCATGGTGAAAGAGGGTGGTGTCCTTAAGATGGGTGGGGCTGATACCTTTCTGCACCTTGGAAGGGAGCTTTTGTTTTTCATAGAAGCAGCTACATCAAAGGAAAGAGCTAAATGGTCAGGAAGTGGAGCTATTAGGGGAAGGAACCTCACTCCCAGTACAGTTATGTTTTAATGCAACTGATTTCTATAATCACATTGCATTTATATCCCACTTTTTTTCTGTTCAGGATAAAATGGGACTGTTATCCTCACAACAATCCTGTGAGGCAGGCTGGGCTGAGAGGAAGCGACCGGCCCAAAGTGACCGGTGGCCAAGTAGGGACTAGAACCTCCCAATTCCCCAGCCCAACACTCACCACAGAACTAAACTGGTTTTTAACAGAGTGAGATTTGCAGCCTGCCTCTGACCCCATAAGGCTCCTGTGGGGACCAACCTTTCGGACTCGTGTTATCCTCCCTTTTGCCACAGTGAGCTAATTCCTAACACTTTGGGCTTTTTCCCAAGACTTCTATTGTGCTTCCTAAATAAGATAGCTCTTCCTCTTGACAACTGCCAGCCTCTATGAAATAGACACATGCAGCCCAACCATCCATTCCTTAACATTCCAAGTCTTTTAAGACTATTTCTCCTCTGGCAAAAGGACGAGTGAGAATTCTCTGAATCTAAGCCTGAGAAAATAGCTATTGTTAATAAACTGTTCAAAGAAAAGTGATTGCAAAGACTGAAAACGACGTGATCTAGAAACAGAAATCTTAAAGGTGAGTGAAATTGCCCAGGGAGCAGCCCAACTGTATAACAGCTATAGAATAATAATTATTGTCAGGGAGTGATTGAAAGGGATGGATATTATGTGTTGGTGACAACTGCTGCGCAGTAAACGTGTATGCATTATGGTTTTGATGCAAGTGGCCTTGGGATCGTCAACACAATGAATGGCCAAGACCCGGGATGCAGGTCCTAGAGAAAAACTGTAAGAACAAACACGTATCACCAGAGAAAGCACGTTCAAACTGTACTGTAGCTATATGATCAAGGTTGGGCGGGAAGCTGTTAATGGAATGAAAGGTGACAGGAAGGGATGTTTGCTGGTTGTTTGTTCTTAACTGGAGAGGAAAGGGGTCTAGGAGGGTTTAAAAAAAATCCTAGAAAAGAATTCCAGCTCCCAGTCATGCCAACATCACTCATGTTTGTTACAAAGAGATGAGGTAGGGAGGAGTGCAGAGGGAACACCATGGAAAGCTACCCTAAAAGACATTTGAGGGTGCAGAAGCTGGCAAAAAACCTCAGGGAAGAAGTCAAGCCTAGCAGCAGGAAGAAAAGAGGGTGCCTAGGGTTGTTTCACTTGGAGGAGAAAATGTTGGGGGAATTTTTGGTTGGTAGGACAAGAGATTCTATCTTGCCTATCGAACCCTAACCCTGACCTACCTCACAAGGTTGTAGTGAGGATTACCACCACCTTACACTCCATAGAGAAAGCACAGAAGGGAAAAGCATATACATATAATGTTGTTATATGTATATAACATACATGCTTTTTGCAAAGCATTATATGTATATGCTTTGCAACAACATATTGTTGCAAAGCATATACATATAATGTAAACAAGAAGTAAATACCATCACAAGTATTGTATATACAATGCAACAAAATGGAAATGTCAAGAATAGACTGCTGCATAGATTGAGCATTATTTATGTACATACCATGAATGAAAAATCCAACAAAATATGGGTGGGTAAATGGGGAAAAGGAAAAGATATCTCAGTACAAGGATACAGTCAGAGTAAATAAAAACAGAACGGCTACATCAATTTAAAGTCAGACAAACAAAGCAGCAAAGAAATATAAACAAGGGGGGCATGCACACAAGCCAAACACAAATACCTAAGAGCCAGCGTGGTGTCGTGGTTAAGAGCATGGGATTCGGACTCACGCAATCAGGGTCCTAGTCCCACTCAGCCATGGAGTTCAGTGGGGGACCCTGAGCCAGCCACAGACTCGCAGCCTGGCTCACCTCACAGGGCTGTTGTGAGGATAAAATTAGGAGAAGGGGGTCTGTGACAGCTAGTGGGGTGTGGAGGACGAGAGCACAGGACGGGGACCCAGGTGGTCCGGGCTCTCGTCCCCACTTAGTCATGAAGTCCACCGGGAAACTTTGTGGCAGCCCCGACTCTCGGCCTAGCCTCTCTCAGAGCTGCTCCTGCGGACATCAGACTGAGTGCATGTCAACTGCCTGGAAGAGGCAAGGCACGGAGCTCAAAAAGCGAGCGAGCAAGTCCTGGCTCGGCGGCGAGTCTTGGTCTGGGGCTCGGGAGAACTAAGTTCTGGTCCTGCGCGGCCGGGAAGTTTCCCAGCGGACCCAGCCGACCCCGCAGGGCTGCCCCGCGGAGCAGACCGAGGCGAACGGAGCTCCGGCCGCTGCCCTGCTTCCCTCGCGGGGACGGGGACGTGACAGCGCAGCCCGGCGCTCCTCCCGGACTGCCTCGCGGGGCTGTTGTGAGGCGCCCGGGAGGAGCCGGGCGGCGCCGGGAGACGGGCGCGGCGGAGGCAGCGGGGCAGGGCGGGCGCGGGCTCCGCGCCGGAAAGGGGCGTGAGGGCCGGGAAGGGACCGGCGCGGAGGGGCGGGCGGCGGGCAGGCGTACTGACCGAGCAGGAGCAGCTTGAGCTCCCGGCGGGCGTCGCGCTTGTCCCTCCGCAGCTGCTTCTCGATCTCGGCGTTGATGCGCTTCGACTCTTTCGCCTCGTCGCTCAGGCAACAGGCCATCATGGACTCCAGAGTCATGGCTGCCGCCGCGCCGCCGGTACCGCGGGCGGGCGGGCAGGGGCGGAAGCGGGCGGGCGGTTGGTCGGCCGGCCGGCCGGCAGGGAAGGCAGGCAGGCGGCGGAGGTTTCCCGCGTCCTCGCCGCCTTTCCCTTTGCTCAGCCCGCGGCTCCAACCGAACTTCGCCGCCGCTCTCCTCCTTCTCCTCCTTCGCCTCCTCCCCTCGCGGTATTAAAGGCTCAACCGAACATGCCCCCCACCCACCACTGCTAGCAACAGCACCGACGAGCGGCAGCCGCGTCCAATCGGAGGGCCGCGCGGAGGCCCCTGGGAAGGCCGGATTGGACGCTGCCCCGCGCCGCGCGCAGACCAATCGGTGCGCGCGCGGGCGCGGGGGCCCCCCACGCCCTCTGGCGACGGGGGCGGCGTGGGAGGATTGGCTTGGCGGCCGCGCCCTGTCCAATGAGGGGAGCGGAGGGGGCGGAGCCTCGCGAAGCGGATGCGCGTTCTTGCTGGCCGGGATGGAGGGAGGAGGGGGAAGAGCGTTAAGTTATTATTTGGCTTTGGGCCACGCCCCCTTTTCGGGGTTTTTATATGTTTGGTTCTGGCTTAGCCGATAAGAGACGTGAGGAAAAAAACGGTTCGGGTGAGAGGTGTGGAGTGCGCTTGCGCGAGAAGGCTGTGGACGCGCGGCATTGCGGGATAGTGGAGGACTTCGAGCGGGGCAGAGGAAAGTGGAGGGCTAACTTATCTTCCCCCTGTAAAAGTAAATGTTTGTGTTTAAGGAGAGAAAGCAAATTAATCCTTGAGCCTTGGAACCTCCTTCTCTTGGGTGGACTGCGAATATATTTGGGAGATGTGAAGTTCCGGTGATAAAGTGTTCCTCTGAGCATGTGCAGAGTGCTTTTCTCCTCATCTCTTTTTTTAATCATGGAAGGCTCTGAGCAAATGCAGCAACGTTAACCTGCGTCTCTGGGTTTGTAACACACAACGTTTCTACCATTCCTGCTTCCTTTTAGCTCAGAAAGGGTTGCTACCTCAAAACCTACAGTCTCATTCAGACAATAAAACAACATGAAGGATTATCGGTTCGTACAAATGGCATTAAAAGGGGTGCATTGTGTACATTGCATTGTGAACGACATCCCTGCAGAAACGTCAGTTGTGCAAGATTTTTCATTTTCTAGCTCAAGCATCCAGAAATTAGAAGAAAATGAAGATTTGGAAGGACAGCAATGAAGGAACTAGAAAAGTTAAGTGTAAAATGTATGTTTTACTTATTTATTTATTTATTTATTTAGCAAACTTCTATGCTCCCCCATTCGCTGAAGCCTCAGGGCGGCTCACAACAATAAATACACAATTAGCTATATAAAACAATATAATTGGAGACGTCCTGGCCGAAGATAGAAAATCAATAAATAATATTAACAATTAAAATGACGTTTAAATAAAAAGGTCTTGGCCTGGTGCCGAAAAGCAAATAATGACGGCGCCAGGCGGACCTCTCTGGGGAGCGCATATTTAAAATATAGGTATATTTAAAATATACCCTGCCCTATACACAAAAGTGTTTCAAGGCAGCTTACAAAAATCAAAATAATCCAACAATTAACAATCACAAATGAAAAGAAAATCAAAGCAGAATCAAAAATAAAAACATGAGCATAATCAAAATGAAAGTTGAAGACATGCATGCACAATGAAATTCTGAATATAAAATGTAAAAACAATAGATTATTTTGTATTAGTTACATTTTTCTCTCTCTCATTCTCCCCTCTCCTTTTTTAACCTCACACCTGCCCTGTGGGGTGTGTTAAGCTATCGCAGCCCAACAGAGCTTAAAACCTCCCAAAATATGAAATAACCAAAACATCAAAAAAGCAACCATCTCTGGCAAATAAAAGGAGCAACTGTCTTGAATTGGTAAGATAGATTATACCTACGTCTGTGGACAAAAGCCCATTGAATTAAATGGGGTTTGCTTCTGAGTACACAAGGGATGAATTTAAAATGCCCATCTGCATTTCTGTTCTGAAGTTGTCCCATTGCATTCACTACCATTTATCCCAAATGTGGGTAGGATTAAAACTCACCCTTTTGTCCCACTCTTAATTACAAGGGTCAGCTGATTAAAGAAACCCTCTCGCTGATGGATCCTTTGGGATAAGTGCGGCTATTTGACTCAATTAAGCTTCCATAATTCTGCAAAACAACAAAGAGAGCTGCTGCCTCTCTTTCCTAATTATGCCCTTCTAAGTCCTCACCCGCTCTAGCAGACATTTCCTCCTTTGTGAGATAGCACTTGTAAAATATCCTTTATGAGAATCCCCATTAGAAATAATAACTGCAGCCTACTTAGCTACCAAAACCATGAGGTTGTTGCTGTGGTTTTTACACTGCCAGGTGTATTCCCACTGTGGTAGTTAACAATCCGTTTTTCAGAGTCGCATCCTGCTTTCCACAAAGTTTCAAAACCATGCTCATGCCGTGTATTTTGCCATCCAAAAGGGCCGAACATTCAAACTCCACAGTCGGAGCATAAGCTTTGCTGTCTGCCCCAGACTGCAGCTGCCTGGACTGCTCTTCCTAGAAGTAATGGAACTGGAGGTGTGCAAACATCAGAACAGGTGGGGCACAGCTGTCCAGGGCTGGGTGCTGAGCCTTCAAACACTCCTCCACTTTCTCCCTGGTTTCCCCCAATCGTCCAGGAGCTTGTGGCACCCTCCAAACAGCTTTCTCTGTCTCTCTATGTAAAGGCTTGAATTCGCTTAGGGAAATGAATGTTTGAGCTCCCTTGTGGTGTCCTGGTTAAGAGTGCAGGACTGGGACCCCACAAATCCCCCTTCTGGTCCCTCTCTGGCCATGGAGTCATGGGGACGAGGGGCACTTTGAGTCAGTCACTGACTCTCAGCCCAGCCTGCCTCATTGGGTTGTTGTGAGGATAAGCATGAGAAGAGATGTAAACTGCCTCGAAAGGAACAAAGGGGAGATATAAAATGCCAGCATGCATGAGTGTTGGCGGGCCTGAACCCACCGTGCATGTAGCTTTCCTTCTCACACACCAACTCCCTCTGCATCCCATTTTCCTCTCTTTCACCAATCCCTTATTCTCAAATTGATTTCCCTCTTTTCCAGAAACCCTTCTCTCTAACACTGACACTCTGTGTTCTCTTCTGACACTCTGTGTTCTCTTTATGAGCTCTTTCTTGCTCTCATTTGGACACCCAATTTTATCCTCTCCCCCCGCACCACCAATTCTCTATGACTCACTTCATTTCACCTTCTTTCAGCCAGCCAGCCAGCCAGAAAGGGGTCTGAAACTGATAGTTTGCAGGGAACCACACCTTGTTCTCCCCACAAGTTACACTTTGCAAGGCTAACAAACCAAGAAATCATAGCACTCATGAATACTATACAAATTCAGTATGCACTGTTGTCTGCGAAGAACTTTAAATCTTTTCTCAACAATGGCTTGGGATTCTGTAGAGCAAATGACTTTCTATATTTTATGCATTTATACAATCTTTAATCATCCTTCTATATTTTTTTTAAAGCCTACAACACTCAAAGCAATTTATTCTCTTAGAGATTCAGTGCAATTTATACAATGCCTTGAGTGGATTTGGTTCTAAATGGTGGTATAGAAATATGTAAAGGAGATTTTTTTTCACATATACAAAGGGAACACATTCTGAAATTTGTGGACCTGAATTAAGTACTGAAATTCTTGGGCAGGAAATTCATACACACCCCTCTCCATTTAAAGTTGGTTCTCCAGATCCTCATAGAATCCTAGAATAGTGGAGTTGGAAGGGGCCCTGAAGGCCATCAGGTCCAGCCCCTGCTGTGGCAGGACACTAAGCTACACCATCCCACTCAGGTGGCTGCCCAGTTTCCAGCCTCAGATAATCATATTGCAATCATTAATGATACTTTTATCTTCCCCCTGCCCCAAAAGAAAAAAATCTTCCTGTAAATGCGCTTGAGATCTTGCCATTATCTGCCAATGGAAACTCCACATTCAGAAACAGTCTACCAGGAAATCTAATACTAAATGTGAAGAATGGATAATAGGGAAGACAATTTTCATACTCTGTTAGTAGGTTTCTCAGAATTTTAGTTTTGAAGGACCTCTGTGCAAATCAGTTCCAAACTTGTGTAGATGGCCAGGCCAGAATGCCTTAGGCATGTGTAAGGAGCTTTCTGGAGGATACTTTATGAAGATTTTGGACTTCCAATTGTTTCACCACAGCATGAGTAGAATACATGACTGAAATGAAGCAAACCAGTCGGGGATAACCAGGAACAGAGTTTCGTGCAGCATAATTATAGCATTGCTTATTTGTTATTCCAAACAAAATTTGCTTTCATGTATTTGGATGCAAGTGGCACAGTGGATTAAACCGCTGAGATGCTGCACTTGTCTGCTGGAAGGTCAGCAGTTTGAATCTGAGTGATGGGGTGAAGTCCCATTGCTCTCGTCCCCATTTGAAAGCATGGAAGTGCCAGAGATAAATAGGGCTCCAGTTTGGTGTGAAACAGCATTCAGTGTCTACACAAATGCTGGCTCTCTCAGAAAGACACAAAGAACAGCAGTGCCCTCTGGTGTTGGACACGACTGGACTTAATGTTGTTCCGAAATTTCATATATTAGTGAGGAAATACCAGTGTTCTCATCAGTGGCAGAAAAACGCTGGTGCCATTTGTTGCTGAATGGACCTGCCTAAGCATCTAGTCCTGGGCTCCTCAAACTTTTTCAAGAGGGGGCCAGTTGAAAGGTGGCGGCGACTGGCACGGGGTGGTGAGGCAGGGGTGCCCAGGGGCGCAGGCAGTGAGGTGGCGGTGGGCACGCACGAAGCAGTGTCGGGCACACGTGGCGGCGGCTCACTTGCTTGGAGACCTCCCAGTGAGTTCAAACCATCTCCGAGTGAGCAAGCCACCGCCTCCCCGCCCACACATGCAGGCAGGCAGCAGGCACGGGCGAGTCCAAACCTCTGAGGCAGGCTGGATAAATGGGCATGGCGGGCTGGATCCAGCCCGCGGGCTGTAGTTTGAGGACCC